TATATACGTACTTTGTAATACCTCTTCAAATATTCAAATAATTGTTTGTCGATTGTTTCACGATCGTAACAAATAAGACCACTATTTTTGTAATCGGCTAAATTTCTTGATATAAGATCTTGCACTAGTTCGGCGATCATAACTAGTTGTGGCACATTTTGATTATGTCGTGTTTGACGTGGAGATGGTCGATTTTGTAAACGTTTCGATGGCTTCTGACGTTGGAATAGTTTTGCATAGGAGAATTGAATGGTTCGATTTTTTGAAAGAACCATATTATACCAAGAAAGAACGCTATTGCCGCATAAAAATGTGATACGTTCTTTTCTCATTCCTAGAAAGAAATAACAAACAGTTCTCTAATAGAAAAATGAACTGTACATATGAAAACTACCTGCTTTTTCCTCGCAACGATTCAAGCCGGGAGGCCGCGATATTTGGATCGGGCATGCCGAGAAACGGTGTTCACCTAAGTTTCGTCTTGAAGGCAGACAAATAATTGTTTCAACAGTTCTGAGCTGAAATAATATAGAGTAGAACAGTTAGTGAAAACATTTATTTTCTATATGTTCAATGTCTCTACCATCTTACTGCTTAACAGTGATGAAAAAGCAACTTCAAGTTATCCATACCATTGTTGGTTGATTGACGATTGTAAATTTTGTGTATTTCAGCAGCTACCCGTGTAGCATCTTTTTCGAAAATATTTATTTCTGTGAAGAATGAAATTATCTTAAAAATAATAGTACCTTATAATCCTGTTTAGACTTTACCGGTTTAGTCTCAGGCTTCAAGCATCAAGTAATANTTCGAAGAGCTATGGGCCAGTCCCATGATCATATTCGGAATCAGCATGGTCGATAACCTATAACCCACTAGATGTCGATCAAAAAGCTTTTAATCACCTCGAAAGGTTCCCTCGTGAGAAAGCTAACTTACAATGTTAGTAATTTTTTTGCATGCATAGGTAGTCCGGACGTTACTCTATAAAATTAGGCAAGCCACAGCTCTCCAGCTTTTGTCGTTCGGACAGGGCCCGCTTTCCCTGAGCACGTGCCTATCTCCGAGTAGGCTCCTCTGGGAATCTCGAAGTGCCATGGAATATAGGTAATCGACTACGCTGAGCATAGTGGCAACATATGTTTTTGTGCGAAAATGGAAATAACTTGACCAGAGATATTTTTGTGAAAAAAACAGTTTTTTCACCTGTCATCAGCAAAAATTAAAATCCTTATATCTCGATCAAATCCATGCTGACTCAAGGAAAATTCCAGAAAAGACATCATATATTGTTCATCAACCCGAAAAAGTGGTCCAGCAGGGTACTGTGGCTTTGAGTTTTTTCAGAAGATTTCTGGACAACCTTAAACCAATGTCCAGCTGAAATTCACCTTTTTCATCTGCGATTATGATTTATGAGCTGTCCTGAGCGTTTCCGGAAAAGTCCTTGAGTCAGCATGAGATTTGATCGAGATATAAGGATTTTAACTTTTGCTGATAACAGGTGAAAAACTGTTTTTTTCACAAAAATATCTCTGGTCAAGTTATTTTCATTTCCACACAAAAACATATGTTGCCACTATGCTCAGCGTAGTCGATTACCTATATTCCATGGCACTTCGAGATTCCCAGAGGAGCCTACTCGGAGATAGACACGTGCTCGGAGAAAGCGGGACCTGTCCGAACGATAACAGCTAGAGAGCTGTGGCTTGCCTAATTTTATAGAGTAACGTCCGGACTACCTACGCATGCAAAAAAATTACTAACATTGTAAGTTAGCTTTCTGAGAACGGAGCTGGTTTTCCAAAGATCCTCTGGGAAATCAACCTTCCAAAAAATTTGAAAACAAGTTTCTTCTTACAAAAACATGTCTTAAGGTCTTGGCTATCCAGCAACGAAAATCGCACGTGGCTACGACTTTTCTGTCAAAAGTTATTCAAAAACAGCCACGCGCACATTGTTTTGGCGCCGATAGTACTTATACCAGATTGTAACTAGGGATGTTCGGTTCCCGGTTCCGGAACCGAGAATCGCGGTTCTGGAACCGAAACCACGGTTCCGGTTCTCGACTTAGAACCGAAGCGAAAAGAACCGCGGTTTCGGTTCCCAACTTAGAACCGAACCGCGGTTCTCGGTTCTCAGCTAAGAACCGGAGAAGAATTTTTCAAGCAGTAATAATTCTGCCAAATGAAATTCATTTTATAGTAAACGCAAGGATGCTTTTAAA